GCCCAGAACTTCTCACCCATTCTTTATCAGAAGCCGTTTGTTAAACCCCCGGCCCTCTCCAGCACACCCTTGATGACCCGTGCTGACTAGCAAAGAGCATCCGGCTACCACCCCTCCCCCCCGTCACCGGGATGACCTCTGTGTGCCGGGAGGCCTCCGTCTCACCCCGACCCATCGCCAGGTGACACGGCGCATGACTTCAAACGACCAAGAAACCATTCGCACCCCACTCATCGTCAGGTGACCCTGGACGACTTGCTCTGACCTGGAGACCCCGCCCAGCTTACTTGCCCCGCCCGGCTACCAGGTGACCCCCGACAACCTGCTCTGACCCGGGGACCCCGTCCGCCTCACTCGCCCCGCCGGCCGCCAGGTGACCCCGGACGACCTGCTCTGACCCGGAGACTCCGCCCGCCTCACTCGCCCTGCCGGCCGTCAGGTGACCCTGGATGACCTGCTCAGACCCGGAGACCCCGTCCGCCTCACTCGCCCGCGGCAGGTGACCCTGGATGACCTGCTCAGACCCGGAGACCCCGTCCGCCTCACTCGCCCGCCGGTTACCAGGTGACCCCGGACGACCTGCTCTGACCCGGAGACCCCCGCCCCTCACTCGCCCCGCCGGCCGTCAGGTGACCCTGGATGACCTGCTCAGACCCGGAGACCCCGTCCGCCTCACTCGCCCGCGCCGGCCGTCAGGTGACCCTGGATGACCTGCTCAGACCCGGAGCATCCCCCCCGCCGCGCCTCAAAAACCCCCCCGCCGCCTCACTTCGCCCCGCCTTACCAGGTGAACCCGGACGACCTGCTCTGACCCGAGACCCCTTCCTCCCTCACTCGCCCCGCCGGCCGTCAGGTGACCCCTGGATGACCTGCTCAACCCGGAGACCCCGTCCGCCTCACTCGCCCGCCGGTTACCAGGTGACCCCGGACGACCTGCTCTGACCGGAGACCCCGTCCGCCTCACTCGCCCCGCCGGCCGTCAGGTGACCCCGATGACCTGCTCGACCCGGAGACCCCGTCCGCTCCTCAGCCCCGCCGGTTACCGGTTGACCCTGGATGACCTGCTCAGACCGGAGACCCCGTCCGCCTCACTCGCCCCGCCGGCCGTCAGGTGACCCCGGATGACCTGCTCTGACCCGGAGACCCCGTCCGCCTCACTCGCCCCGCCGGCCGTCAGGTGACCCTTGATGACCTGCTCTGACCCGGAGACCCCGTCCGCCTCACTCGCCCTACCGGCCGTCAGGTGACCCTGGATGACCTGCACGGGGCGCACCGGGAGAAGCCGTCGGTGTCGCTGAAGCCGCCGCGGCTGGACCTGAAGCGCGTCCCGAGCGGCGCCACCAGCCTGGCCTCCATGTCGCACGCCGACATGCGGCGCATGTTCGGTGGCGACCGCCGGCTCGCCATGTTTGGCTTCACCGTGGAGACCATCACGCTGCTGCTGCTGCCCATGGTCACCACCAAGTGAGCACGGCGCGCGCCAGCGGCGGAGGGTCAGCGCCATGCGTCTCTCGCGGTCGCGCCAGGCATCCGAGCCGGGCCGGCCTTTGACTCCGTGGCGTGGGAGTTGTCAGCAGTGCCACGCGCCAGGGAGATATCCCGTGGTGCTGAAAGGTGTGCGCCCCACGGTATCACCCTATAGTCAGAAGTAATCGGAATTGCAGCTGAACACTGTCACGGTAACTGTCCACGGTGGTCTAATACGTCTGAGTGAATTCCCGGACATGCAGAAACGCCAGGTGTTTCACGTTTGTGATGGGCGCCAGGGGACCGGTTTCCCGCGTCATAACGACCTGGAGTGAAACTCATCCTCCTGGTGCATCACATCCTGTCACGGTACAGACAGCTTGTACAAATATACCGGGTTTAATGATCATCACGTGCACGGCGTGGGCTGGTACCGGGCCGGAACTGCCGCCATCGTGTCTGTTCGGCCCTTCCGCCGTGCCAAACACCGTCATTCCGCGTGCGGCCAGCCCGTTGAGATGGCGGCAGAAGCTCGGCTGACGTGCGCTCGCGTCGTCCGCAGGAAGGAGGCGCTGGCTCGATGGGCAACGACGCTCCGCTGGCCTGCCTGTCGCAGTACATGCCGCTCTCTACAGCTACTTCAAGCAGCTGTTCGCGCAGAGGTCACCAACCCGCCCCATCGATCCGTTCCGCGGAGAAGATTCGTCATTGTCGGATGGCCTGCCCCATCGGTGAAGTTGACTAGGAGGTTGAGGGGGGTGGGCCGGGGGCGGGAAGTGAGTGGATATTGTCAGGAACCGGAGCAGGAGGATCAGCGGACACAGGAGGAGGGGGGGGGCGGGGGCGGGAAGTGGTGGTGTCAGGACCGGAGCAGGAGGATCAGCGGACCAGGAGGAGGGGGCTGCGGGAGGCGTGGCTCTTGAAGATGGATCTCGTCATTGCAATGGGATGGGAGCGGTTAGTGTCGGCCCTAGACGGTTTATGCAGCCGTATCTCCAGTCGGAATGTTGGATGTAAGCGAGACACCGGCCGCGGCACAAACAAATAACCTCAGTTGAACTTTTGGACTATCGTATTGCCAGCTGTAACTGATGGTGCTGATGTAAGTGCGGACCTATCAGAGGTTGAAGCATGCATCACATGTGGCTGACATAAACGGGCAACCGGGGAAATGAATTGCTATCGTGCTCTTCCTAAATGTCATACCAAAGACTGATGTCCCAAGAACGTCCAGCTGGTTTAATCATGCGTGGTTTTGGGATGTTTTCCTCGAGGGGGATGATGGAATGACGGTTGGGCTAACTCTACTGCTTTACAGGAATGTTAGTCGTTTAAGATCCACGAGTATGTTGGAAGACAGTTTCGTTCGCGCATATTCGTGGCATTTACCACGTTAATTCACACTGCAAAAATGGCACGGTCTCACGGTGCTTCCGTTCAACGCAATTCATTCATACAGCTGGACTTGGCTGTGTGACCGCCGCTGCCACCGAGGGAGAGAGGAGAAGGGGGGGAGGAGATGGTATGCCTAGCCGCCGGGCGTGCTGACCGCACCACCGCCGCCATGTCTGGGTCAGCCCACCCACAGCCCCGCCCTGTGTGACTGTGTGTGCAGGGCCGGAGCACAACATCCTGCAGCCGAGCGAGCGCCAGTGTAACCGGCTGTACCTGGAGCAGCCCATCCTCTCGGTCAGCGACATGCAGGTCATCAAGGACTGCAAGTACAACCACTGGAAGGTCAGCTTGGCAGGCGGCCGCCGGGCTGACCTGCAGTGGGGGAACGGCCCGACGGTTTTGTTTGATGAAGCGGTCATGATGAATCGTTTCTATGCTGTTCTGTCATCAACAATTAGCAGTGCATTACCATCACTCATAGGATGGATTGGCATTATTTTAACCTCCGAGTAACATAATTGTTTTGTTCTCTGAAATGCGGCCCTGAGTGGTGCACTCGAAGATTTCATCCAGCTCTCGGCAGCCGCTTGTTCCGTCGCATCGAACATCGTTGTCACGTGTCACCATGTCCACACGCCTCTCCACCTGCCGCAGAAGTGCGTGATCGACGTCACATACCCTGTGGACAAGGGTGCGCGCGGCATGCTGTCCACCATCGACCGTGTGGCCGGCCGCCGCCTGCCAGGCCGCCAAGGACGGCTACCAGCTGATCGTGCTCTCTGACCGCGCGGCCGGCCCCCGAACGGTAGGCGAGCCGCGGCTGGCTGCTGCTGGGAAGATGGGGCGGTAACCCCGGGCGGTGGGGCGGATGACGGCCGGCTGCCACTGGGAAGATGGGGCAGTAACCACGGGCGAGTGGACTGGATGACGGCCGGCTGGTGCTGGGAAGATGGGGTGGTAACCCGGGCGGTGGCTGGATGACAGCGGCTGCCCACTGGGAAAGATGGGGGCAGTAACCACGGGCGGTGGCTGGATGACGGCCGACTGGTGCTGGGAAGATGGGGTGGTAACCCCGGACGGTGGGCTGGATGACGGCCGGCTGGTGCTGAGAAGGTGGGGGCGGTAACCCCGGGGGTCGGGATGACGCCCAGCTGCTGCTGGGAAGGTGCACTGGAGCGGGGAGGCTCAGGGCTTTGGTTCCAGGCGGGAGCAAACTGCGGCGGTGGTCGGACAGCGGGGGGGGGGGGAGGGGGGGCTCAGGGGCCGTGGTTCCCGGCGGGAGCAGACTGCGGCGGTGGTCGGACAGCGGGGAGACTCAGAGGCTGTGGTTCCCGGCGGGGGCAGACTGCTGCGGCGGTGGTCGGACAGCAGGGAGGCTCAGGGGCTGTGGTTCCCGGCGGGGGCAGACTGCGGCGGTGGTCGGACAGCGGGGAGACTCAGGGGCTGTGGCTCCCGGCGGGGGCAGACTGCGGCGGTGGTCGGACAGCAGGGAGGCTCAGGGGCTGTGGTTCCCGGCGGGGGCAGACTGCGGCGGTGGTCGGACAGCAGGGAGGCTCAGGGGCTGTGGCTCCCGGCGGGAGAAGACTGGACGGCACCCTTACACCCGGCACGCCATCGGGGATGGCGCAGGGACGATGGCGAGGGTTGCACTGGGGACGCAGACGGGTTGTCTGTTCGGGGATAACTGGGTGTCACAAGCCTTGGGTAGGGAGCATCTCGAAGGCTGGGCATGCAAACTAGGGTCACCATTTTCAGTGATTCCAGGCCCTGACTGCTACTCATCCCCTCACCCTTAACTTGTATGTATCTTTCCTCTGTACGCATATTCTCTCCGCACGCACTTGAAACATCACATTCACATTCAGGCGTTCTCCTCAGCCATCGCATTCTCCATTACGTTGCGGCGCAGCGGCCCACGCCGCTCCCCACAGCGTCACACGTCTGGCAAGGGCTGCCAGGCAGTACGGGCCGACCGGGGATGGTCTGTTTCCCCGGACAGTGTGGTCGTGACGGTGTGTGCCGCCCCCCCCCCCCCCCCCACAGCGTCACGCGTCTGGCGAGGGCTGCCAGGCAGTACGGGCCGACCGGGAGTGGTCTGTCCCCCGGACAGTGTGGTCGTGACGGTGTGTGCCGCTCCGCAGCGTACCGGTGAGCCCGCTGCTGGTGCTGGGCGCTACCCACCACCATCTGATCGAGGAGAGGCAGCGCATGAAGATCGGCCTCATCGTGGAGACGGGCGAGGCCAGGTGAGACGACGGCTAGTGGCTAGTGGCTGGTGGCTAGTGGCTAGTGGCCAGACGGTGGCTAATCAAATGCCAGAGCGAACTTACTGAAAATAAACCAGTTTCTGTTCGTGGCAACAAACTTGCAAAGTAGAAAATTGAGTGATATTAGCCTTAATTTAGACATTTTGCAACCGGGCTCTATGGCCCACAATAGACTCACGCAAAATGTCACAGCCTTAGTTATGTTCCCAGAGCTATGCATAGCTGGACCTCATGCGCCTGGCTTACAAGCGACCGGCTAAGGCCCGATCGTCCCAAATCGTTGGCCAACTGTGCTCAGTTTACTGGCGTGCCCACTGATCTTCGCGGTGCAGATGTGACCTGAGCTGAGATGAGAGATGTGCCGACCTGTCCACCTCCACAGGGAGGTGCACCAGATGTGCGTGCTGCTGGGCTTCGGTGCCGATGCCATCTGCCCCTACATGGTGTTCGAGATCATGGCGGGGCTCCGTGATGAGAAGGTTCTGGACGAAACCTTCACCGATGAGGTCATCTTCAACGTACGTGATGGCTCTGTGATGGAGTGGAGCAAGACGCTGTTTTTCTCTGTCTGTTTTTTAAGCATGAGGGCTGCTTGCGAGTCTCATGGCCTCTCCGGTGATAAATGGGGCCGAGGCTGCTTGTATCAGCTCGGTACCAAACACGTTAACAATAGTTTGCGATGTTTTGAAAACTTTGGTTCTGCACAACAAACTTTGGTTCTGCCTGTATGTGACGGAGACATCAGTGGCTGAACTCGGCCGCTTCTTCCGTTTGTCTGGTATTGAAGCATACGAAATTTATGTAACCGTGAATGATTCACCATATGTTGACCCTTGCTTGACAGAACTATGTGGCGGCCATGTCCCGCGGCATAGCCAAGGTGATGGCCAAGATGGGCATCTCCACTCTGCAGTCCTACAAGGGCGCCCAGATCTTCGAGGCTGTCGGTCTCAACCATGAAGTTATCGACAAGTGCTTCAAGGTAGGAGGCGGGCTGTCGGTTGCCGCACAGTTGCCCTGCAGCGCCACAAGTCGTCCTACAGTGTCGCTTGGTGTAACAGCAGCTGTTGAAGATATGTCCCGATACGGCTTCTTGAATAGGCTTTTGTTGTACTTTCCAGCACGCAAATGCTTACTGCTGTATATGACGTGAACAGCTTGTCATCGATTTTTAACTCGCTTCACTTCATTTTCTTCGCTATTTGCGCGCGCGCACGCATGCGCACGCACACGCGCACGCACGCACTCACGCACGCACAAACCCCTCTGAAGATTTTCTTCTGCTCATGCAAAAAAATGTAAACCAAGTGTTCATATCAGAGATTCCCTGGCTGTCTTTCCGTACCTCGCCCGTCTCCCTGTGGCCCCTGACTTGATACGACCTGCCCTGACCTGACCTGACCTGGCCGTTTCAGGGCACGTCCTCGCGGCTGGACGGCGTCACGTTCAAGCTGCTGGCGGACGAAGCCATCTGCCGGCACGCGCTCTCCTACAACCTGCGCGAGTGCGACACGTACGTGCTGCCCAACCCCGGCTACTACCACTGGCGCAAGGGCGGCGAAAAGCACATCAACGACCCAGACAACATCGCCAGTCTGCAGGTGGGAGACCGTCGCAGCTTCTTGAGAACGAAGGGCTCCGACGAATACAATGCCATGCAATGGAACGGCGCAGCCGTGGTTGGGCGGACGTGTTCGGTTTGGGTTCAAGTCGGTTCTGCGTACGGGTTCAGTTCTGCCCGACTGGATCTGAGTCGAGTCGTGTCTGAGTCGAGGGAATGGTGTCAGACCGAGTCCGGCGGAGTAGACCGGCAATATGTCTACCTCGCGAATAGATGGCTGCCCCTGGAGCTCGTAAATGCACCGGGCCACGTTTTTGTTCACTGATTTTCAGTGTGCGTTGTGATGTGCGGTCTTGAAGACATGATTAGGGAAGCCAGCCAAGCTGTCCAGTCGGCCTGCAGTAGCATACTCGTCGCAGTTGAGTAGGAGCAGGCTGTTGGGCAGGCCAGGCAGGCGCTAGCCGAAGATCTCTCGAACACTTGCGCTGCTGCATCCACCAGAAACACGGATCCCAAGTCATTGTATCGCACCCGCCTCCGCGACAAACCCGGCTCGCCTGCCCCCCGCGTCCTCCGCTTCAGGTGCGTTTCCTCCCGTCTCCGGCAGGCGGCGGCGCGCACCAACAGCCGCAGCGCGTACGAGCGGTTCGTGGCGTCCAGCATGACCACCATCCGCGAGTGCACGCTTCGCGGCCAGTTGCAGCTGGTGGACGGCGTCACGCCCGTCGACATCAGCCAGGTGGAGCCGGCCAGCGAGATCGTCAAGCGCTTCGCCACCGGTGCGTGTGTTAGAGGCGTGATGAGGGGAGGGTGCTGATGAGGCGGGGATACTTGCGTTGTGAAGTGGCCCAAGGACACGGGGGGGGGGGGGGGGGGGCAGGGCCGGCTGTGAAGTGGAAAGGAGGTGTGTTAATCGGTGCGTGACCATTGGCCGCATGGCTGAAGGTCAAGTTCAGCCGATAAACGGAGATGATCTAGTGGATGGAGACTTGTACTTCGTGACCTATGGCTGTTTTATATTTTCCTTACAAGTGTTAGGTTGTATATTGCAGAATGCAGCGTAAGTGGGCTGCAAAATGACGTTGCTCGTCAAAGCCCTTTCTGCCGCACTTCCGGTGGTCTGCGTCTGCTGACAGTTCGGTCTGTTCGTCGCCTAGAATCACTGATGATACGATAGCCTCACGATTGTGCAATACTCCCCCGCAGTGACAGCACGTTCACGTTGTTACACTCCACCAACAACGCTCTCCGCCTCCAGGCGCCATGAGCTTCGGCAGCATCTCGATCGAGACGCACACCTCGCTGGCCATCGCCATGAACCGCGTCGGCGGCAAGTCCAACACGGGCGAGGGCGGAGAGAACTCGGACCGCTTCATCGTCGACGACCCCAACTTCAACAAGCGCTCGGCCATCAAGCAGGTGAGCGGCGTCGGCGAACAGCGGCACCGCTGCTGAGCTCGTGACGGTGGTCTGGCTGCGGGTGCCGGCTGCTGCCTCTCGTACTGGATCAATCTGGACTGGACTGGAGCAATCCACAGACATTCTGAATATGCTGCTGAGTGAGGTGCTGATCGTCGCTGTCGCTGAACATGCACTCAAACGAAATGGTCTTCAAAAACCAAGCATGCATATGTTAACAAGATGTCACTGCAAAACGCTGTATCCAAGAAGTCGCCAATATTTATCTTTGACACTTTTTCGCCGGTAGTGTAACGCAGGAACATGGCTATTAAGAAGTGTACATCGAGGTTCCAGAGGCGGAACGCTGTCGTTTCGCTCGCTGTCGTCCGACAGAGGCCCGTAACGCCGTCGTTTCGCTCGCTGCCGTCCGACAGAGGCCCGTAGCGCTGTCGTTTTGCTCGCTGCCGTCCGACAGAGGCCGTTCTGCCTCAGGTGGCGTCGGGACGGTTCGGAGTGACGGCCACGTACCTGGCCAACGCCAACGAGCTGCAAATCAAGATGGCACAGGGCGCCAAGCCCGGCGAGGGAGGCGAGCTGCCCGGACACAAGGTCAGAGGGCGATGGGGCCACGATGGTGTCACAATGGTGGAACGGTGAAGTCACGACACATGATGTTTGTTAAGCACGGCGAATTGGCATGTTTAAAAGTGCGACAGGCTGGGGGTCGGGATCGGTAGTTTGGCGTGCCCTGGCTTTCTTTGGACACGGACATGCTCTGGTTAAATGTATTCATGCCATGATCGTATCCTGGTGCGAGCATCGGTGAGACTAACCGTGGAATGGAGATTACTAAGGAATATTAACGAAGTTGCTGAAAAATTGAATACATATGCGGCATGAAAAGTTTGCTACGTGATGCCGTGATACTGAGAAGCGGACGATGCGTGTGGAAATTGGTCGACGGTAAGGATAATGACCTTAGGCCTTGCACATAGCGTGCTGTCTTACGCCCTTACACTAAGCCGCGACGTCGTCGGCTGTTCTCGCATCGGAAGACAGGGCCGCCGGCTTTGTTTTGGGAGCACAACCCGGCCGTCTGTCAGCCGACGTCCCCCCATGCCGATGCACTCTACACCAGTGGAGCTGTTGGGACGCGAGCGTCTGGTGACCCGTGACCCGTGACCCGTGACCACCGGCGCCAGGTGTCGGAGGACATCGCGGCCACGCGCCACTCGGTGCCCGGCGTGGGTCTGATCTCGCCGCCGCCCCACCACGACATCTACTCGATCGAGGACCTGGCCGAGCTCATCTTCGACCTCAAGTCGGCCAACCCGGAGGCTCGCATCAGCGTCAAGCTCGTCTCTGAAGTCGGCGTCGGCGTTGTGGCCAGCGGCGTCGCCAAGGTACGCGCTGGCTGAACTCGCTGGAGGTGCTGGGGCTCTGCTGATCACTCCCGGTGTCACTTCCTGCCGACTTTCCTGCTTGATGACGTTTTGCGAACGGATCGCGGGACAAAGGGCCGGCACCATGGCAGGGCTCTGGCTTCCAAAGTCAACTCTGGGTGGGTCTCGCAGTCCACTGATATGTGGAAAGCATGAAGCGGGGCTGATGCTGTTGGGCTGAGCAAGCATATGTGGGCTGTCGAAGCCGCAGGAACGAGGTCAGACTACCGAACCAGGATATGGACCACGGCTGAATGCCGGAGTGTGCAGCCTGGGTCATCGTTGTTTCAAACTTATACAAGTACTGTCAGTCTGTTGATTCCGTCGTAGGGCGCTTATGTAAAAGTACCTTGGTTGCAGTTTGTGGACATCCTAGATATGATGTTTTTGTTTTCTCACGACACCAATACACTTTCTCCTCACAACTTCCGACCACGTCACAGGCAAGTACCACAAAACATGGCAGAAGCCAGCCTCTGACCCGCCACTGCCCCCCCCCCTCCCCCGGCAGGGCAAGGCGGAGCACATCACCATCTCGGGCCACGACGGAGGCACGGGCGCCAGCAGCTGGACGGGCATCAAGTTCGCCGGCCTACCCTGGGAGCTGGGCCTCTCGGAGACGCACCAGACGCTGACGCTCAACAACCTGCGCTCGCGGGTGGTGCTGCAGGTGGACGGACAGATCCGCACCGGTGAGCGACAGGCCTGGCCGGGTCACACACAAGACGGCGGGTGGCCGGGTCACGCGCAGGGAGCGGGTGGTGCTGCAGGTGGACGGACAGATCCGCACCGGTGAGCGGCGGGCGTGGCCCGGTCACGCACCGGGCCGGCGAGCGGGGCGCCGAGTGCAGACGCTGGAGTGTGTGCAGCAGGTTCACTCCGCGGTAGATTACCGTAAGCCCTGCTGACAACTGTAAAGATTACATCGTTCACCTCGCGTGTTTTCTCTGTCGTGATGTCAAACATGCCTTGTGTGATATGATGTGTTATGTTTGACATGAGTCGCGCATGCGTGGCTCATCACTGCGTTTTCATCTGTTCCATCACCCCGGCTATTTCTCGCCCTGCTCCACTGCACGGCCACGTCACCGACTCTCCCCACCAGGTTTTGACGTGCTGGTGGGCGCGATCCTGGGCGCCGACGAGTTCGGCTTCAGCACGGCGCCGCTGATCGCGCTCGGCTGCATCATGATGCGCAAGTGCCACCTGAACACGTGCCCGGTCGGCATCGCCACCCAGGACCCGGAGCTGCGCAAGAAGTTCGAGGGCCAGCCGGAGCACGTCATCAACTACCTGTTCCTGCTGGCCGAGGAGGTAGGGCTGGGGGGTCCCGGGTGGGATTGACGTGATGATGTGGCAGGATAGGAGAGGGTAGGAGAGGATAGGATAGGATGAGATAGGATAGGATAGGATGTGAAAGGATGGAACAGGATAGGATAGGTTAGGATAGGATAGGATAGGATAGGATAGGATAGGATAGGATAGGATAGGATAGGATAGGATAGGATAGGATAGGATAAAACAGGATAGGGTGGGATGGAATGTGATATTATTGGGTAGGGTTTGGTAGGATATGGTAGGATATGGTAAGATCTGATGGGATGGGATGGGATGGGATAGGCAGCGTCAGGGGAGCTCGGCCTGAACGGGTAGCCGCAGCGTCCGCAAGCGCAGGTCGTCCTCTGAAGACGACTTGGTGACGCCACGTTTATCTAGTATCTAGTAGTTTATCCAGTGCCCGGGACCCAGTGTATGAGTGACCCAGCGTGGGAATGACTTGAAAGTGCGTGCGACCCAAGTGAGCATGTGACCCAGCGACGCTGCATTGCTCCGAGAGATAAGAAATGACGTCCACGATTATGATCTTCGGGCTATTCCCGTGACCTGAGGTCGCATACCGCCCATGGCTCTTGTCCGAGTCGCAGGCGTTTTATTTTGGGTGTATGCCAGATGCGACCCAAGCTTTTACTCGCACGCCGGTGATTTTTCCAGCACGATAAAAAATGCGATGGTTAACATGGTGAACTTAGCTCATTTAATGGGTAGTGGACAGTGTTAGGAAGCTGCCGTAAGGGTTCCGAAATCGCCCAGTCTTAATCATGCCCACCCTTTTGAATGACTCCTGGCGTTTGCAAATGGACACCATGCAACGTGGCTTTTTTAGGTGCGCGGCTACATGGCCAAACTGGGCGTCACCAAGTTCAACGACCTCATCGGCCAGACGAAGTTCTTGCGCATGCGCGACGACCTGCCGCCGAAGACGAAGCTGCTGAACTTTGCCCGGATCCTGCTGAACGCTCAGGAGCTGCGTCCCAACACCAGCATACTGGGCGGGAGTGTGGCTCAGGTGGGCTTCCAAGCCCTGCACAGCGGCGTCACCTGGCAGGCCGTGACTTGGCGGTTCAGCTAGATACGAATCTGATGGGCGTTTGCGCATGCGTCTTGCTGTTGACTGAGACGCGAGGAGTCTATCTTCTGTTGCCCTGGAGCTTTTGGTCTTACGCCCTGCTCAGCCAGCCTGTGTCAGCCTGTGTCAGCCTGTGCATCTCATCCCGGCTGTATGTGGTTATTGTTAATCTGCCGTCCAAAGGCAGAAAGGTCTAAAAGCCATCAGCAAACATAACTCGTCAGCCTTTTTGCCTTTGGACGGTTAGCAGTGGGTGGCGGCATTGTTAAGGTTGTTGTGCGTGTGGCGTCAGGCTTTTCACTTTCCTGAACAGATGATAGCGAATAAGGGCCGTCAAAAGACAGTTCATTTGACTGATGTCACCTGAACTGCGTTTCCCAGAAGCCCCACACTTCCTTCGTGAGCAACTGCCAACGTGAGCGATCTATCGATTGTCTTCCATTCCACTGTTGGGGGCCCCTCTCACTCTCGTCACTCTCCGCCGCTCGCAGGACTTCAGACTGAGTGAGCGCATGGAGGAGGGCATCATCAGCCAGTGCATGGACGTGATTGAAGGCAAGACGGACCAGGTGCACATCGACAGTACCATCTCCAACAACTGCCGCACTTTTGGAGCCACCCTCAGCTGTCGCATCGCCAAGTAAGGAAGGCCACACCCTGAGCTCTTGGTACCTTATCGTGGGCTCCGTCCGTTGTGTGTCTGTGTGCGCGCGGCTAACTGGGTGTCCTCTGGGGAAGGGGAGGCCTGAAAAACAGATATGTCCACCCACTGGTCGTGACCCTGACCGGCTGGCCTCTCCTCACCAGGAAGCACATGGACGCGGGCTTGCCGGACAACAGCATCCAAATCAGCCTGAAGGGCTCTGCCGGCCAGAGCTTCGGCGCTTTCTTGTCGAAGGGAGTCCACCTGACCCTGGAGGGCGACGCCAACGATTACGTGGGCAAGGTGAGCTGCAGCGACTCTGGGTACTGGCTGGTGATCGTGCCGTGGAGGAAATCGCAGAGCTCAAATGCTGCCTCCTGGGCTCAAAAGGGGCTGAGCTCAGAAGCTTGCAGCTCGTTAGCTGAGTGCTCCTGGATTTGCTGAGTTAAGCTTGCTGGCAAGAGCCAACACTGAGGAGAAGCTGCCCAGTGTTGCGCCTTTAAAAAGTCATGCAGATAACCAGTACTTGACACCGCCCTTTATACATAGTGAATGTTTCCACTTGAACCACTTAGCCAACCAAACGTGCTCCAAATCGGCCGCCTTTTGAGCCACCGACGGCTGCTGCACAGTTCCCCACTCGAGCGGGGTCACGCGGTGTGCTGGCGCTCCCCGCGTAGCCGCTGGTCCCCTGAACGCCGCCTGCCCGCCGGCAGGGCCTGTCCGGCGGCGAACTGACCATCTACCCGCCGACGGGCATGTCGGAGTCATTCCGCTCCGACGACAACATCATCGTAGGCAACGTGTGCCTGTACGGAGCCACGTCCGGCCGTGCCATGATCCGAGGCCAGGCCGCCGAGCGCTTCTGCGTCCGGAACTCGGGCGCCACCGCCGTCATTGAGGTGAGTTCCGCCGCGGGAGACGAGGCTGGTGTCCGCCGACACTCCGACATTTTATGTTGTAATTGCACAAGAAACCGATGCACAGTCGTTGCTAAAAATCCGGGAGGTTTATCTCCCTTTACGTGTATTATTTCCTACATCCCGTATCTTAACCAGTTTAATTCCAATCTCTTAAAGTTAAGTAGCCATCATTTGCCACCAACAAAGGCAAAAGGCCCCGATCTTGTGACTGGTCTGCGTCAGCTGAACACCACTGCTGCGTCCCCGTCCGGGGCGTTGCCCGAGTGTCCTGAGACGGCGCCACCTGTGCCGGCAGGGTGTCGGCGACCACTGCTGCGAGTACATGACCGGCGGCCGGGTGCTCATCCTCGGCGCCACGGGCAGGAACTTCGCCGCCGGCATGTCCGGAGGCATTGCCTACGTCTTCAGCGAGGTGGCCGACGACTTCCACCAGTAAGCGACTGGTCGGATCAGATCTGCAGGCAATTGACATGGAGTTTTGTGAGATTAAAAATTGGTATTCTTCACGTGCTCAAGCGTTCTGACCAAAAGAGGTACTTAGAAAAAACGCGGATATGTATGAGTAGGGTAAAATAACTTACTGCCTAAGCAGTAAACTGTTCCTCTTCTTCGCTTAGTCTACCGTCACTGTACTTGTGGTCTTGTTTTTTTCCCGCATGCTCAGCGCAGGCCACCTTCCCGGTCATCTAGACTGACGTGTGACCCGTGTCTCAGGAAGTGCAACATGGAGATGGTGGACCTGCTTCCCATGGACAAGGACGAGGACATCATGTTCGTGGAGGCCCTGCTGCGGGAGTTTTCCGAAAAGACGGGCTCCAAGGTAGCGCTCAAAATCCTGGAGAACTGGCCGGAGAACGCCAAGAAGTTCACCAAGGTGAGATTCGCGACACAGACCGGTTCGGAACGGCGACTGTGCACCGCCTGGAACGCGATCGGGAACTGCTTGGCACCCCGTCCGTTCGAGCTAGTGTGTCTGGCAGGCCGCCGTGAATGCCGAGCCGAGTGTCACCTCAGCTTCCGTGTCTCTTCCAGGTCTTCCCGTACGAGTACCAGCGGGCCCTGCGCCAGCTGGCCGAGGCGGAGTTCAAGAAGAAGCAGCTGGAGAAGCGCAAGGAGGCCAAGACCGAGTCGGACGAGGAGCCGGACGTGCTGGACATCGAGGACGCCATCACCGACGCCGAGAAGGAGGCCAAGATCCTGGTCAAGCTGGACAAGATGAGGCGAGTGGAATGATGGTGGTGTGGACCAAGAGTAGATGCGTGGAGAAAGTATGCCATTGGAGATTGAAACGGCGAAGGGCGGATAAAGCATAATAATTACAACATTTACATGCATAGTCTTGCCAAGGTTTTGAAGCGCATGGATTGTATGGCTCCCTGCGAATGTTTTTTATTTCTTTGCGATGTCATGAAAAGGGTGCTTTCCCATTTCACCTGCTGCAGCCCTCACACGCATCAGCCTCAGACTGTTGCGTATACTTTGTCACGTGACCATGCACGGTGTCGACAGGGGCTTTATGAAGTACGACCGCGAGAAGGTGATTGTACCGGCCGGCGAGCGAGCGGATGCAGGACTGGGGCGAGATCTACAGCCACAAGTCGGTCAAGAAGGGGCTGCGCAGGCAGGCGGCTAGGTCAGTCACACCGTCGTCAGCTGGCCGGCCGCGGTCACTCGTTCCCTCCAAAGGCCTGGGAAAGGCACCGCGCCAGCGTCGTGAGTTCACACAAAACGAGGTTCACGTCCGCATGTCAGGCGCGACATTTGGTCAGACGTGAAGCATGGGCCGTGAGTTCGCTCCTGCGGCGTTACACCCTTAAAACAGCTCTAGAGTAGCCTCAGAGGTCATACATACGACTATCACGTCGGTATTGGTACACGTCAACACCTACGGAAAACATGGGCTCGGATCCAAGTGAATGTGCCTCCCGCTGTCTAATGCGACTCGCTCTCACCAGACCCGCTGTCTCTCCGCCTGCAGATGCATGGAGTGCGGCACCCCGATGTGTCAGAGCACCACCGGCTGTCCGCTGGGCAACATCATCCCCAAGTGGAACGATCTCGTCTACAAGGGCCTCTGGCAGGAGGCGCTGGACCATCTGCTGCAGACCAACAACTTCCCGGGTGAGTTGGACGTTACTCGGCGACCGTCCCAGGCTCGGGCGTATGACAGTAGTCTGGAGAAGGATCGATTGCTGTAAAGAAAATGGTGTCGACCTGATGATCTGTGCAAATGCATAAACATGCTGTAAATAAGTGGATGTGGATGTTATTGAAATACGGAGGGGAGAAAACTCGATAACTTTGGTCGTTCGCGTAATTAGGTAGTTTTGGAGGCTGACGCCTGCCTCTTCGCTCCCCTTTTTTCCAACCTTTCCACAAGTATCCGATCTCACGCGTTGAAATCTCCGGCGCCCGTCCCGACCCCCGTCCCTAAGCGCGCTGCCCAGACCCCCCGTCCGGACCCCCGTCCCTAACGCGCTGCCCAGACCCCCGTCCCAACCCCCGTCCCTAACGCGCCGCCCAGACCCCCCGTCCCGACCCCCGTCCCGACCCCCGTCCCTAACGCGCTGCCCAGACGCGCTGTCCGGACCCCCCGTCCCCTCCGTCTGCGGTACCGGTCGCCCGGTCTTCGGCAGAGTTCACGGGTCGCGTGTGCCCCGCTCCATGCGAGGGCGCCTGCGTGCTGGGCATCATCTCGCCGCCGGTCACCATCAAGAACATCGAGTGTGCCATCATCGACCATGGCTTTGAAATGGTGAGGCGACTGCGCGGACAGAAGCCATGGAAATTAGAACTGGGAAACTGTGGCTGTACTGCTGCTGCAAAACGTTTTACAGTTTTCTTCTACACTGCATATTTCGTCTGTCTGTTTTGATGCTGGAGCACGTTTGCTGGGACGTCGATGAATCGGGACGTTATTTTTACTAACTCCGCAGCGTAAAACAGCTTCATCGCAGGAGTGGTTTGGCTATGCCTGACGGACGCATTTATTTTGCCTTGAGTGCCGACCCCTGTACTCCTGCCGGCCCGCTGGCTCCCCGCGGCCCTGTGCCGCTGACCCCCTCCCCCCCTCCCGCCACCAGGGCTGGATCCGTCCGGAGCCCCCGCTGACCCGGACCGGCCGACGCGTGGCGATCGTGGGCGGCGGGCCGGCCGGCATGGCCGCCGCCCACCAGCTCAACAAGGCCGGCCATACGGCCGTCGTCATGGAGCGGAACGACCGCATCGGCGGCCTCCTGCAGTACGGCATACCCTCCATGAAGCTGGACAAGGAGGTGGTGCAGCGGCGCGTGCGCCTGCTCGAGGACGAGGGCGTCGCCTTCGTCACCAACTGCACTGTTGGTGTTGATGTCAAGCCGAAGGTGGGTAGGGACGGCTGAGGTCGCGGCGGGGGTCAGCCCTGGCCGGCCGTGGCAGGGGACTATGGGCGGAGGCTAGGAGGAAGTGGGTTTGTGGTGGGGACGAGGATTCCTGACACTGGTTTCGCTTCTGTCCCGGGCTAGGGCGCTACCACCCTTTGCGGCCTTCAGCATTCCGACTCCCATTACTGGCTGTGAACCCTTAAAACAGCTGCTGCTCGCGGGTTTTCCAACCCGCGTGACAAGCTCCACGGAGACTAACGCCAGCATCGGGGCCTGGCAGGAGCTGATGGACGAGTACGACGCCACAATTCTGTGCACGGGCGCCACGTGGCCGCGCGACCTGCCGATCCCCGGCCGCAAGCTGGACGGCATCCACTTCGCCATGGAGTTCCTGGAGACGTGGCAGAAGAAGCAGATGGGCAACGAGATCGACGAGTCGCGCCTGCTGGCCAAGGACCGGGACGTGATTGTGATCGGTGGCGGCGACACGGGCAACGACTGCATCGGCACCTCGCTGCGACATGTATGGAGCGGGGCGGGCCTCGACTGCCGCTCGCTCACTCACTCACTCACTCACTCACTCACTCACTCACTCACTCACTCACTCACTCACTCACTCACTCACTCACTCGCTCACTCACTCACTCACTCACTCACTCACTCACTCACTCACTCACTCACTCGAGTTCTCGCTCACTCATTTCATTCACTCACTCACTCACTCACTCACTCACTCACCCACCTCACTCACCTCACTCCACTCACCCCACCTCACTCACTCACTTACTCACTCACTCACTCGCTCACTCCAAAATTCACTCCGACGCTCACTCACTTCAGCACTCACACATCTTCAATGTTGCTGTGGACTGCCCGTCTGTTCATTTGTGGCATGTGTGGTGTTTTGCCGAATACTCCGTATTGGATGGTCGGTGTCGCCAAAAGTGCGAAATCCCTCCTAGACTGCTGACCTAATCTGAGCTCTTGAGCGGACTGGCTGCGCAGTGTGGCTGCGAAGAGTGCGGACTTCAAAGGATGACAACAACTCGGAAGATGCAGGAGAGACGAGAAGCGGGGCGTGCTCCGCCCTTCTGCTTCGCCCCAGCTAAACCCCAATCATCATCATCATCATCATCATCATCAGCTGACGATTCCCTGTGCTCCGCTATGTTCCAGGGAGCCCGCTCCATCACGGCGTTCGAGATCCTGCCGCAGCCGCCGGACACGCGCGCTCCCGACAACCCCTGGCCAGAGTGGCCCAAGGTGTTCCGGGTCGACTACGGACACGAGGAGGTCAAGGTATGACGTCATACTCCCCCTATCGACACTGAGGCCCCGCGTCATGCTATCTGTGGAGGACTTTTGATTCGCTACTGCTCTTGTTCACCGATGACGCTCCTGTGTGTGCGAGGGTGGTCACCACTGACGTCTGATTTTTGCCATTCTGTAGCCGTGACGGTACCACGAACTTTTGAGTTTCTTCACAGGCGATCTTAAAGCCTTAGCATGGTGTGACTCATGCTACTTCTGTCTTGCACCCTCAGTACTTTTGCACATATTCTAAACTTTTGTCGTCACTGGGCGTCATGTCGGAGCTCTCAACAGTTAAAGACGCGCGCAGACGAAGTGGGCACCAACTGACCTGTATGCACACGCCATCATAGTAGTACCACCAATCGACCTATAAGATCATGCGTATAGACCATGTTGCCCCCAGCTAACCTACGTATACAAACCACGAAATCACCCGTCGCCGGCAGACCAAGTTCGGCCACGATCCGCGCCACTACTCCATCATGTCGAAGGAGTTCCTGTCGGACGACAACGGCCGGGTCTCTGGGATCCGCACGGTCCGGGTCGACTGGGTCAAGGACGACAACGGCCGCTGGCAGCTCAAGGAGCTGCCTGACACCGAACAGGTGCGGCCGCCGAGCGGCCGCGAGCGAGGACAATGCCGGGGGAAACTGGAGGGCGTGGCTGTGGTGCAAATCGGGTATCGATGCGGTCGGTGGATTTCCGACCATTGCTATGCATTGCGTGTCAGTTAAGGTGAGGTAGCGCTTGGTCCCATAGGGCACATTGGGTTCAGCTGCCATTGGCGATGAACGCAGACATTGGCGTAAGTTCACTCTGCCAACGAAATGACTCACGATCAGGAGAGGTTCGCTTGCGAAAAGTTCATCAGGTGGTATGGCTGGCAAGAAGCGCTTATCCGTAGCAAATGCCTGTCATGACCTCCCCCTCCCCCTTCCCCTCGTTGGCAGGTGTTCAAAGCGGACCTGGTGATCCTGGCCATGGGCTTCCTGGGCCCGGAGGCCGACATCATCAAGCAGATGGAGCTGGAGCAGGACGGCCGCTCCAACATCCGCACGCCCGACGGAAAGTACTGCACCAGCGTGCCGGGCGTGTTCGCCGCCGGAGGTGAGACGACTGGGCGTGCCGAGCCGCGCGGCCAGCGCCGTGCTTGTGCGCCCAGTTTGAAGGCGAGTGCTTTGGTCATGGCGCCCTCAGAGTCGAAGTGAACGCGTCGCGATCCTCCGCGTGGCTGAGTTAGTCCAAGATGCCGGCACAGATGGGTGCTGTGCGCTTGACTCCCGCAGGAAGCCAGCATGGACTGGGCTCTGAGGCTCGGATGTGGTGTCTGTGTGACCGCCTTTAGCAGTCATGCGGTCTCCAGTCATGGATATGGTTATGGAAACTGTATCGGCGGTCGCCACTCCTGATGATGTGCCTCGCGCTCCGTGGTTAGTCAGTGATTGGGCAAAAGGTGCACTTTAAACAGCTGGTTTAACGTTATTGGCACCAAACTGCGGGGATCGCTTCGCGTACCCCGGATTGCGACCTCCGGCCTCCACATCGCTCGTTGAGACCCTCCTCACGTCCCTTTCAACATTCCCCGTCCCCACTTGCCTTCACACGGATCACTACGGGCGCGTCACTGGCCACCAGCACGTGCGGTTGTGCGGACGTCTCGCGCAGGTTCTCCGCCGGCGGGATGGCCCCTGACCCCCCCCCCCCCCGCAGACTGTCGGCGCGGCCAGTCGCTCATCGTGTGGGCCATCTCGGAGGGCCGCCAGGTGGCGCGCGAGGTGGACGAGTTCCTCTCGCAGGGGCTCACCATGCTGCCCGGCCAGGGTGGCATCATCCGCATCCCAGCACTGGGCGAGAAGAAGAAGTGGGACCCGCTCGAAGACTACGAGATTCCCGTCTGAGTCGCGCCGCCGCCGTCAGGGCGCTCAGCGGCGCTAGTGTAGCGGGCGCGGCGCGGCTGCGCGAGGGCTCTTGGAGCAGCGCGTCGGTGAGCTTAGTTCCCCGTGGGTCGTGTTCGTGTGAGGCGCAGGGGAGGTGCAGGCTCCATGCGGCCGGACGCCAACGTAGTGCAGTCTCGGTGCCCGCCGTGCGCCGGCTTAGAGTCGTTCGAACGGCGCTCAGAAGTCTAGATGTGTCGTAGCGCCTGCCCAGATCGTACCCGCGTTGGTAAGGCTTCCGTGATGAGCGTTGCCATGGTCACCAAGCGAGGCCACCGACGGTGATGGGAGGCGTCGGCTCACTGAGCATTGCTTCCGAGTTTGGTGTGGCCGGATAGTCTCTCCGATTTGCTGCGTTTCAGTCCACGGCTGCGGTGATTGATGGCCGGTGTTGACCTTCGTGTGAGCGCGCGGAAAGCATGGGATGCGTCAAGCACGTCCACGGTTTTGGGCAGTAGTGCAGCCGCTTTATATTACGAATAAACGGTTTCTCGTCACTGCAGGACCGTGTCCATCAATGCTGCTGTCACGCTGTAGCTGTTAGTGTCCTGCTGTGGCAGTTAATGTCTTGCTGTGCCTGCTGCTGTCGTGCTGTGGGCTTCTCTCCGGGCAGCCCGCAGCGTACCGTCTTCCAGCCCCAAGCAGCCCACGACACACGTCTCCCGGACCCCAGGGTCACTGTGCGCGAACGCGAACTACGAGTCAAGTCTGTTGTAGGATGACATGGGAGTGAACGAATGTTAGCTGTTGTGGCTGCCTCATATATAACGCAACAATAATACACGTACTCGCGTGCGTCGTGCTTCAGTTGATCATGCTATTAGAGCCGGCTTTCAAAACCTCGCAAGGTTGCCTGGCTTTGGTTTGGATTGTGCTAGGTCTGCGAATTGGACTCGAATGTCACATTATTTCACCGCTATATTGCGTCCCACAGCGACACTGCTCTTCAACTGCATCAGCGCTCTTGCTCTTGAAGGCTGCGTAGAGACCCATAAAGTGCGTGGTTGCCGGGGATTCTTCACGTACGCTCCACACGATGGCTGAGCCAGGGCTCATGACCTCGAGACAATTCAGCCGGCATTCGGGATGGGTGGAGAGCCTCCTTGAGGGGTCAGGTGATGCGTTATGTCGGCAAGACCGCAGCTCGAGACACGACGTTTGTATTGTGTGCGTGACATCAGTGCATCACACCAGACCGTCGCAGCAGCCCCTGACGCCGACGCAGTGCAGCACGCTACCTTCGTGGGCTGCTTCCTGATACATGGACGACCATTTGCCGGCATATGTTAATGAACTGTTGGTGTGCATTTATAGACAACACAGCAACAAAAGAAAATAAAACAATAGGGATATGCAAATGGGCAAAATGATTTAGGAAGCGTAGGTGCTACGTGTACAACACCTCACTGTTGTGCTGACTGCGATTTTTTGTATTTAGGTCCGTGATTATACGCGTCGTATCCAGAAACACAATCATACACGCGTGCAAAAATGCTACATGCCAGGTTGATATCTTCCCAGCCCGTTTATTCAAGCGCTGAGTTTATTGTCTGCGGGGTCTGGCGGCGTTGCACACATATTTTTCTTCAGAGTGGGGGAGGAGAGGGGGAGGGGGACGTTTAGGATTACCAGAGCAGAAGCCCGTTTGGCAGCCCATCTACAAAGCAACATTTGTAGATCCGAACAACATCGTCCTGATCTTCTCCCTAGAGGGGGGGGGGGGGGGAAGGGGCGCCGTGTGTTGCGTTTTGAAATGTGATGTGCTTTGTCAAATACGAGGATCTAAAGGCGAAAGATGCTCTGATTTAATCTCTTTATCCCGCTAGCTGATAAGACACGCATTTGACAGGACAGAAGACATTCTCCGCAAAGACCGAAAGGACTGAGAGCGTGTTCCACGCTCCACATCCACCTCTGGGACGTAGGATCCATCACGAGTGGAGAATGTCGTGAAAAATCGATGTTGCCAGGCTGTCTGAGCGAACGTCTTCTGATGCTGATGATGCTAAAATTGCTTTCTCATGAGAAATGGCCTACCGATTCCACACTGCTCAGAGCGCGTGGATGAGTCCAATCTCGAATCTACTCATCGTAGTAAAAAAGTACTGTTTGCAAATTGTAGAATCCTAGCTTCTCCTGACCTGTGAATGAAGCGCATGATGAGGCCTTCCAAGACTCGTCGCCGGCCGCAGCCGTCTCTCCTCAAAATGCTGCAGATATTGCTACTGTTCTCTGAAATTCAGCGCAGTGGGACTGGTGCGATCGCATTTATCTACATTTCCTTTGCCATTCTAGGTTTGAAAGGTGCTCTATCCCCGTTTGCGTCTCATTCGTCCGCCCTTATCTACATCCACATGACGCCTTCACTCAGTCCTTCTTGGCGCTGTCTTCACCAGGAGTCATCGCTTTAGGACACCGCATATTTTGGAGCGTTTTTGCGAGCAACGCCAATAAGGCGCAATGTTATATCCGGTAAAGTTGGAGCATCTCGGCTCTGTTCCCCGTGACGAACACGAAGCCCCAACCTTACTGCCCCTATGCGGTGGAAATCTCCACACGCCATACTGCACCTTTTCCAATTCCAGACATCACATTCCAGAGTCCTGTGGACTGCACAACCAGCGCGCCCCGACGCCAGCGCCACCTACACCGCCGCCAGCCAACTGGCAGCCAAGCCTGCGGCGGCCGCCGCCAGGAGCGCGCCGGTCGACCGGGCGGCCGGGTGCGGCGTGCCGCCGCGCTGCTGGTGGTTGTGGTGGCTTAGGCCGTGCTGGCTCATCTCCCTGCGTCGGCCCATGGTGGTATCGCCACGCAGCCTGTCCATGTCGCGCGACAGGCTCACCCCCCAGCGGAAGGTGTTGGAACGGACGCCGCCCGGTCGCTGCGGTACGGCCGGGCTGGCTGGTGCGGCGGCCGGCCGCTGGGCGGCGCCACGGACGCGGTCTGCCACGGCCGGGTCGGCCAAGAAGCGCACGCGCCAGCTGGATTCCCGCAGGCGGTCGCATGCTCTCTTCGGCTGTAAGGTAAGCACGTCCAGAGAAGCGACCACCTCGAAGAAGTCCAGACAGCGACAGCCCAGCCTGTTGGTAGAAAAATGTGAATTGGATATCGGCGGATCACGTATGGAACGTCAACATAAATATCAGCCGAGCGGGGCCTTTGCAATGTAAACGTGAAACATCCGGCAGTCACGCCCTCACTTGTGCCCCACATCCTACGTATTTACACTGGTTTGCCAGTTCGACAGCAGCTCCAAGCTTCAATATTGATACCGATAGGAGCGAACACTTACCGGCCCTGGGCGCTATAATGCGCCTTCTTCTCTTTGCAAGACTTTTCGCAGCCCCGCACCGTCTCGTTGAAGTCTGCCTTGGCAGGATGTTCGTCAAAGAAATTCGTTTCCACTTTGTAGCAAAGCGCCTTCTTAGAAACTGTAGCATATGGAAGCGCGTTGCCATCACACTAAGTTGCATAGTTGCATGGTGAAACCTGCTGCCAGATTGCGGCTTCAAAGAGAACAAAGCACATTAAGCAACTGGATTTCAGTGCTACATGAAGACGTATTTTGTCATAACGGTGGGTTCACAGTCTGCCATGTAACAGATTATGCTGGACGTTCCAAACCGTGATAGCTCGTTTGCGATGCCTCGGGATAGCGAATGGATCGCAACATGCGTCGGACATCAACGTACTTTTAAAGTCACTTAATCGAAAACATGCTTGCAGAAAAAAATCATAACATACAGTATGACATAAAATCGTTGTTGGAATAGGAAACTGGCACGCCAGTTTTCATGCATCGGCACGAGCACAAGCCTGAAATACATTTTTACGAACTTTCAAGAGAACTTATAGCTGCGGAAATTTCCCACAGGACCTCCTGACCCCCAGCAGCTCCACATTCTCACCATACACACCGCTGAGGCTCCACACCCCCCCACACCCTCCGTGTTCTCCACGCAGCCCACCTGCGCACGTCTGCTTGTCGGCGGCGAGCGCCCAGCCGGGCACGCACGAGCAGCTGCTGTTGGCTCCGGCCGACTCGCAGATTTGGCCGCATACCAGCCCTGACGGACCGCACGTGTCCGCCCATGCCCCTGCCCGAGCAGCGCCATCACGTGAGAGAGGAGACACACAGACCAACTCTGGCGGACCGCACACGCCCGCCCCTGCTCGAGCAGCGTCATCACGTGAGAGAGGAGACACACAGACCAACTCTGGCGGACCGCACACACCCGCCCACGCCCCTGCCCGAGCATCGCCATCACGTGAGAGGGGAGGCACACAGACCAGCCCTGACGGACCGCTCACGTCCGCCCCTGCTCGAGCAGCGTCATCACGTGAGAGGGGAGGCACACAGACCAGCGGCGTCCTTAACCATGCTCTCGCGTATATTTATGAGTGCACACTTGAATATATATGCACATATTTCTCTCTCCCTCACCCCAACTCCTCTGTCTCTCTGTCTGTCTGTTCGTCTGTTTGTCTCTCCCTCCCCCTCCCTCTCTCTCTCTCTCTCTCTTTCTCTCTCTCTCTCTCTCTCTCTCTCTCTCTCTCTCTCTCTCTCTCTCTATCTCTCTCTCTCTCTCTCTCTCTCTCTCTCTCTCTCTCTCTCTCTATCTCTCTCTCTAAAACACCTGTCGCTAAAGATCGCAGCGGCTTCGTTGCTTATTAACTTTCGAGATGTAGTTTGATCTACGGATAAAGTGCCTACTCTCTGGGCTGTGTTTGTTTATAGAAGAACCAAAACCCATTGCGAGAAGAGTCCAAGTAAACTGCACGCCATTGACGTTTTTATGTTCCATCAGCTTTACCATACAAAGATACAGATCTACGACAAGAAAACAAAGATAAAAATGGATGGATTAAGTATAACAAAAATATGCATTTATCAAAAACACGGATACAAAAGTGGCTTATTATAAACTTGTGCGAACAGGTTGTTAAGACATTGGTCATCATGGAAACTTGCGCTTTGAGAGTTGCAGAGTGTAACAAAAATGTTGGCCATTAACAGTTACCTTGTTCAGTCAGTCGATCAAGACATGCGCGGAGATATCACCAAACTTGCCCGAGCCCGTACTGCTGCTACTGCAGACATTTCAGCCCACAAGCTGTACTTCAAGAATACCATGTCTCAGGACTACACGGCCGGTGAAAAGGTCATCTGATCAATCTTCAGGAGCCCAGGTTAGGTCAGCGGCAAGCCAGCGTCGCCAGGGCACCAGCTGAGGCGTCGCTAGGGCACCAGCTGAGGCGTCGCCAGGGCACCAGCTGAGGCGTCGCCAGGGCACCAGCTGAGGCGTCGCCAGGGCACCAGCTGAGGCGTCGCCAGGGCATCAGCTGAGGTTAATTATCTTAATTAAGTTAATAGAGTTAATTACCTACCAGAGTCCGTCACACGGTCCCCGCTTATGGAAAACAACCCGGCTCGTGACACACGCCTTCTCAAACAATCCAACGTACTACACAGTGACAAGCGCCCTTTCGGAGCCTGCCCTCCACCCGAACTGCCATTGCGCCGGATTGACGAACACATTACTCAGTAGATGCATCACAACATATGTTCGGCACGGCAATCCAAAAACGAATATGAAATCCCACCATGCCCAGCGAGTTACCAGGCAACAGCTGGTAGATGCCATTACAATCGCTAACAGGTGCCGCAATGTCAGGCAGCTACTTGTGCTCGACGCTGTATGCATACATAGGCGACATGGACCCATCTACCAACAGGCAAGTCAACGCGCGGGGAACCCCAGCCGGCTACGGGGGAACCGTAACCACGCTGGATTTGATCCCCGGACGAAGCCTAGCATGCACGTATTGTGCACTTGGAAAAATATGTAACTTTACTGGGAGGTAAATTTACTATTTGAAATTAGTTTCCATTGTTTTTGCCGGCACAGTATAAACAGCCTTATTCCCCGCAGAATCAGCAGGAGAATGGAGAGATTGACGGGATATTTGGGCTACATGCCTTTATCAAGACGAATTCGTTTCGAACGGCCTACTCAACAACTTACGAAATCATTTTTGTATTACCTGTGGGTGCCTAGTACGTATTGCGTGTTTGTGAATAATGAAAAATGAAAAACAAATACGCTGGCGCTTTATATTTGTCATCCAAACTACGGCGCGTAGCCTTGACTTTTCCGAAGAAGAATAGCTTAGACTATTCTATCAGTTAATCACAAAGTTTGGTGGGTGTTGCCTCACCTTACTCTGTGCGATAAATGTGATTCGGGTTATATGTCTAGAAAATGCAGACGGTTGACGAAACGCTGAAGGAATATGTGAAGTGTAACAGGAATTCAAACCTCCTGTACTCCTCTCGCAACGGGTGTTGCGTCTATCCCAAGACCAGGACAGTCTAGAAAGCAAGCGCTTAGTGCGCCAGATAAGAAATATATTTCGGAAGATGATAAATAACAAAGTCACGCTTATTTCTAACAACCAGTGTTTATTAAACCATCCGATTAAAAAAACGCACACACACACACACGTATATATATATATATATATATATATATATATATATATATATATATATATATTACTCTTATTAAGCATTATATATATGGCTCTATTCGGACCCTGAAATTGTCAAAATGTATCGTGGTCTGTTGGTGTTTGTCCACACCAGCGATTAGAGGACATTGTCTTGAAAACAACTTTGAAACACTTATCGATTGAGCTGTCCCGCACTTCATAATCTATCGCTTAATGAGAGTTATTGCCAATAAACGATGCGATGGAGACGATTAAATCGATAGGCAGCGGAGCAGAACGACAGAAATAGCTTTCAATAGCCTGTGCTGAAATTGAAAGGAGGAACCTTTGAACGGACGAAATTTGCATCATTTTGTACGATATTGGGCCTGATCTAGCATTTAACATTAAAGTGAAGCTCTGATCGCGACGGTCAGGCTAGCCCGCAAATTAAGAGAGCCTCAAAAAAGAAGCTATCTTTGCTAAATTTACATTGCGTTATCTTAAAAGAATTGGTTTCGTGAGAACGAACAAAGCAAGAAGCACCACGCAGTGAAACCTTCAAAGTGGATATTTTGTGGACGTGCACTTTGAGGGCTTTGGGCGCGCATCCTGTTGTCTCAAGTTGCTGAATCTTACCGAAATTTACGCGTTGCGACAAGATGGTACCAGCGACTTGAACATTTCTCTTGCCATGAGTTTATCCGCAACAACTGTCATCCATTGCCGAATAGTATGGATGGTGTAACCATCCACGCGGAGTTTGTTAATTTTAATTCCGTAATCACTTGTAGCAAAGACATTGGGCAACTACGGAAAAAGGGCGTCCTGGGAGCTTTCCAAAAATTTTCCAAAGTCACGATCCAAAAAGCAGGTTTTCAACATCCATAAAATCTTGAACACTTGAAATGTTACCACTTTGCTCTCTATCTTCGGCCGCAACGCTGTCGACTAATGCACCGTCATGATGACAGCACTACTGCTGTATGCTCGCCTCCCATCAGGCACCACTGCTGTATGCTCGCCTCCCATCAGGCACCACTGCTGTATGCTCGCCTCCCATCAGGCATTACTGCTGCATGCTCGCCTCCCATCAGGCACATGCTCAGCAAACGCACGCCAAATGATCACACTGTGAGTGCAAGACTGTTGGCAAAGACGACGCCAAACGAATCGCCGCTCCATATGCGTTAAAATCACCAACACAAAACAGGTGCTCACCTGAACTGCAGCCTGACAAACCGTGATGGAGACGGAATGAAGTACTGGACGGTCCGCTGCAAATGAGTTGTGAAAGCGAGGAAATTCGCTTGCCCGCAGTCTGCCCGTACAACAGCCCAGGTGTCACCCCTCATCCCTGGACCGCACGTTGTACGCCCTCACTGCGTGCGTCTCCCCCTCCCCGACTCAAAACGCATGCGGGCCTGCCCGAGCCAGTTTATTAAACGCGCGTCAATCAAAATCAATATTGGTAATCACTATCCTGTCCAATGATGGTCTTGGGGCTGGGCTGTGCTCTTCTCGTGGGGTGAAGCACAACGAACTGGCATACCCTGTAATCCTTTTTTATCTCCGTGATCCAGTTTCCTGCCATGCGTTTATCATCAAGATCAATGGATGAGCAAATGAGCAAGTGATGCTGCTATCGTAGCTGCCCCAAACGTAACTACATGTCTTGTTTAGATTCACCTTTTCACAAGGCATGATGTGTAGCTTATATTCAAAATGGCCTATCAAATAGTGAATATGTGTTTCACTGGTGTCTTCGAAAAGTATTATAGCATTTAAACGAGACCAATGAGATGCTAGGCATGCTTGGCATCATATCATCAACATGAGTGGGGGCGGGCGTGCGTAACAAGGTAGACTTAATGTATCCAGACTGGAAACGTCGCACACAGCAAACGATAGCGCCACGTGCCTCGCCATCTTACCGGTGAGACACATCAAGAGGGTCAGCACGCGCCTCGCCATCTTACCGGTGAGACACAGCAGGAGGGTCAGCACGCGCCTCGCCATCTTACCGGTGAGACACAGCAGGAGGGTCGGCACGTGCCTCGTCATCTTACCGGTGAGACACAGCAGGAGCCTCGTCATCTTACAATCGCACGTGCCTCGTCATCTTACAAGTGAGACACAGCAGGATGGTCAGCACGTGCCTCGTCATCTTACCAGTGAGACACAGCAGGAGGGTCAGCACGTGCCTCGTCATCTTGAGCCAGTGATGGATGGTCGAGGACTCGTGATCGACTGCCCCCTGGGACGGTGTCCAGCCAGCGGCCGCGCCTGTCGCGCCACCAGCGGAGAAAGACGGAACTACCACTAGCAGCCCCGCAACTTATATCCAATGCCGTTGGGCGGGGTGAATCGTAGACAACTGGACACGGTCTTCTGTTGGCGACAGGTTAGATCCTCGCATGCGGGATATCCCACTGTCCTCAGCTCATCGAGTGTTCCGGAACTTTCCACATCGCCAGCTGACATACCTCCACTACGCGGCCCTGCTCTCCTTCCACCTACTCTGTGATAATCTCTGCTCGATTGTCTCTTCCACGGGCAATAACAACCGCCATTGTCTCCTCCACTGGTCGTGCGACGGAGCTCCTGCGGCGCGCCGACCCGGCGACCCCATCCCCGCGCGGTCGGCTCCACGACTTTAATAAAGGTGTTGACGAATTGTTGCACTGCACTGGCTATTTACGACGTTTTGTCTAATTTTATGCGTTTTACTCGTGGATATCCCGCTGGGCGCAATCAACATTTTGACACCTTGCCGGTGCCCCGCTGGGCGGCTGATGGAGGAGCGGGCGGCCGCCCTCTCCCGGGGCGGGCCGAGATCGAGTCGAGAGATGCGAGCTGCGGGTGCTGGGACGGGACGGTGGAGAGCCCGGTTGGGAAGTCCAGACGGAGTGACGAAGAACAGGGACGGAGAGTCAAGGACGGAAGGAGAACGGCCGGGGTAGGGAGTACAGGACGGGGCGGTGGAAGTCGTAGCTGAGAATCCAGGACAGAACGACAGAGCGTGGGGACGTGGGGTGGGTCCAGGACAGGGCGACGGAGCGTCGGGACGGGGGTGAGTCCGGGAGGGAGCAACAGAACGTCGAGACGGGGGGGGGGGGGGGTCCAGGACAGGACCATAGAGCGTCGGGACGGAGGGGGTCCAGGACAGGACGATAGAGCGTCGGGACGGGGGGTGGGTCCAGGACAGGGCGACAGAGCGTCGGGACGGGGGGTGGGTCCAGGACAGGGCGACAGAGCGTCGGGACGGGGGGTGGGTCCAGGACAGGACAATAGAGCGTCGGGACGGGGGGGGGGGGGGTCCAGGACAGGACCATAGAGTGTCGGGACTGAGGGGGTCCAGGACAGGACGACAGAGCGTCGGGACGGAGGGGGTCCAGGACAGGACGATAGAGCGTCGGGACGGGGGGGGGGGGGTCCAGGACAGGGCGACAGAGCGTCGGGACGGGGGGTGGGTCCAGGACAGGACGATAGAGCGTCGGGACGGGGGTGGGTCCAGGACAGGACGATAGAGCGTCGGTACGGGGGGGGGGGGGTCCAGGACAGGACGATAGAGCGTCGGGACGGGGGGGGGGTCCAAAACAGGGCGACAGGGCGTTGGGACAGAGATTCGAGGACGGAGCGGTGCGAATCGAGGCGGGACATCTAGAAAACGGCGGCAGATCGAAGAGCTGGAAGTTCAGAGCAAAGAGATGGGGGACCGACCAGGAGTCCAGGACGAGGGCAGAGAATCCGGTGCCAAAGGCGGAAGATCGGAGGTACTCAGGTAGTCCATATCACAGGACTTTGGTACTTCATTCAGTACGGACCGTATTTGCTGACAAATCAAATACCACACAATTTGTACTAAGTTACGACATGAGCGCCTGCCAAAGAGGCTCATCGCATGGCGTCACCACCACAACTTGTCTTCATGCCGCAGGAGCCAGCGGTCAGCCCGCACCCTCCACCCTTCCCTCCGCCTCCTCAAGCACTATTACGGCCGGGCATATTAGCTCGCGCCATACATTTGGTTTATGACGCGACAAGGGATAAAAGTCGGCTGGGTCTGCACCTGATCTGACTAGAAGGAGCACAGCGCAGAGGCGCCGAGCCGGGTGGACCCCTCTGATCGTGAGTGTTATGGCTGTTCCATCGTTTCATCGTCAGTGCACTGGTATTTCTATGGCTTAAGCGCCATGGCCGTTGACGTGTACACGCTCCATTTGCACCCATCAGCGTATTATTGTCTTTTTTATCCTTACATGGGATCAAGACCTGGTCTTTTCTGTCGTAAACTTGCGCTGTGCGATGGCCTATTTTCATCGAAGAGCTGCTAAAAGACTGCGTGCCGTATTTATGTGAGATCAACCTGGCTCGAGGTGGGAGCGTTCGGAATACTCTCTTTACGGAATGTAGTTACGCGATGAATACTGATAGGAATTGAATGATCCCATTTGAACGACGATAGAATGATTAAACCATCGCAAATGGAGTAAGGTAACATTTGTCGAGCAATTAAGAGCATCACCTTGGCGCAAATTACGATAGCCACTCGAAACTGCATCGATAAATGCCTGTCAGAGTTTTCGTCCATGGTGACACGGATAGAGGGCCAGCAGTTTTTGCGCTGCATATGGTGATTAGGATACCTGGAGGCAATTTTGATGTGATGTCTTTCTCGCTCATATCTCTGAAAAAGGTGTGTCAAGGTGGGCAAAAACAAGCGTGGGTAAATTTTCAATGCCAATGTACGATTCCTTTGTAGCTATCTGGAAACTGCATCATATCCCGTGTTTAGTTAATCTCGTAACATGCGCGCGATTTATAAAGCATTACTGACAGTGAGCTCGATCTGGCTGTTTAGCACTTGTTAATAACGCCCCCGCCAAGGTGCTTGGGTGAATTTTCTGGACCATACAGTCTTCAGTTGATATTCAGGATTTTCATGCCAGTCACCACGCACTTTCTCCTGATTCCGTCCTACAACACCTATGCTCATCGTCTTTGCGCTTCATCGTCGTGTTGTCTTGCCTCTAGTATATGTGAATTAGTTCTTTGCAGGTAACATATTGGCCTGCAACAGTACGGTGCTCTTTGATGCAATGACAGACTAGGGGCGAGGAAAAGTGCACATGGGGGTGGAGGGGCGGGAGGCGTGATGCACATCCACTTATCATGACAGCTTAACACATGTTTGCTGATTACGCTCATTCTGAAAACGGACTTGATCCACGCACTTTTTACAATCCTCTTACTCCGGTGAGTGCCAACACATGCCTCGACGCATTTTGCATACAAGGCCAGTTTTGCCGTGGCCACACCGGGGTGATGTACATTTCGACCGGTAGCTGCAACAGCCAACGGATGACGGTGAGTTGTGACAGGGCCAGGCCCGTGATGCAACCTCTGGCTCCAAATGTTTATGATAATTGCATATGAATAGTACAGCACTCCACAGCCCACAAGCGCTAATGCACCAGTAGATGAATGACTTTGAGGCGGTAAAGCCCATGTCTCAGCTCCAATCTATGAGATAACGCGATAAGGAGGCGATGGAACCGTTTGAGGCGGCATGCATTGCTAATGTATTGCAGCGGTTTATGGGGTGAGATATTTCACAGCGTGCTGCAAGCACAAGCGTGTGCCACTTTCAGTACAGGTAGGCGCGCTATCTAGTTATCTCCAATATGCACTTAGTGAGGGTATTCCTCTATCCTTCACAGGTACAAGTGCTAAATCATCGGAAAGGGTCGGGAGTAAGAAGGTGCATCAATGCACACCACACACACGTCAACGTTGACGCACCTGGTGATGATGGGCACATGCTACAGTGTTTCCCTCGTGGGTTACCCAAGTTGAGCGGGCTTATTTCGAGATCCAGCCATCTGCGTGTCCTTTCGTTAGGCATTGCCTTTGCTAGCAGCGACGTGTTTCGGCAGACGCGGGGTTTCAGTGGTGTTCTGGATTACGGCGCATGCGATCAGCGAAACCCTGCCTTCATTCGCCGTCCTCAGGCTAGCATTGCCCGACCGAATGCTATAAACGTTATTTATTGGATGCGAAGGTACATGTGTAACAAACAACCCTTATCGCGCTTTTTCAGTTTCTGGTTTTTTGTCATGCAGGAATTTCCATGCTCGAATGGTGAGGGATGATCGATTTATTCAGCTTTTGTCGTCACCCCAAAGTCAGGCGGGACAAAGACAGGGACAGGTGGGGTGGGGCTGTGGGGACACAGGGACAGGCGGGGCGAGGCTGCGAAAGCTCAGGGACAGGCGAGGTGGGACTGTGGGGACAATGGGACAGACAGGGCGGGGCTACGGGAGCTCAGGGACAGGTGAGGTGGGACTGCGGGGCCATAGGGGCTGGCGGGGCGGGGTTGTGGGGCTCAGGAATACGCGGGGTAGTGCTGCGGGAGCGCAGGGACGGGCAGGACGGAGCTGCGGGGCGCAATTCATCACCAGGAACTACCGTGGGCGGCATGTTCCTCAGGGCAAAATTTTAAGTAAGGCCACGTTGGTCAGTAATCTCCACTGACCTTATTAAGGTCAAACAGAGTAATCTATTGACATCCCTATGATCAAGGACTTCAAAATGAGCAAAAAAGCAGCGAAAGGCCAGGTATCCCTGTAAAACACGGTTTTTCTTTGAACTTGATTTGAACTGTGCATGTCCAAAGACCAGCGAAATTTGTTGGGATCCCAGTCTGAATAGTCTTATTGTATAAGAAGCCGTTTCAAACTGTTGTGGCTTCGTCTAACACTTTACTGTCTTCTTAGCTTGAAAGGTTCCCTACGCATTGCCTTCGTTGACAGCCATAGCCCAACTTTGGCCTGCTGCAGGTCAAGATGTGCTATTAGATGCCTATAACTATGCAAAGTTTAAGGTAGCCGCGCCGCAACGTGTGGAAATTATTCTTGAAAAAAATTCAAGGGCTCAACTTGACCGATTTTCCATCCCACCCGACCGTGTGTTCACGTTCGATTTCCCTCACGTTGCAAAATAAATTGGCATAAATGCGGGTGAAAGTAGTCATCTGAAGATTTTCCAAGCTCATCGCTACCGACATAACCCCAGACTGCTTCTACAAAATTAGAACCCCGTCGTGTAGAAATTCGGAGCATCTTCGATGTAACCAATTCCACAACAACTTACCCAGATCTAAAGTCACTGATGTTTTGCTAGCGCAAGTGCCTTTAAGATATTACGAAGTGCATTTCATGGTGTGATAACACTGCG